CTGGACATCGAATGTTTTGTCATCGGAGAAAACGAAATTCGACTCCTAAGCTCTTTTGAGTCTATTTTCCTTCCGTTGCGGTGCAAGTTTTTGCATTTTTTGGAGTTTCAATGGCTCGGAGTTTTTCAATATTTGCCGAATGGAATGGAATAATGCGATATGCTCAGCTCAGGAGCCATTTTTCGGCCACTGCGACGCGGGTTTCGATCAAGTCGCTTCTTTACTTTTCGAACCATTTTTGCTGAAGTTGCTGTTTTCTTCCGTCCACTTCCTTGACGTCGGGCTACGCTACCAGTATCACGGTAATGAGCGATGGTGCGAGACATAAAAGATTTGCTCGCCCTGTATGAGAGCTACAACAATTACTGGACCTATATGGGAGCTATGTACCTAGAGAATTCGAAATGTCAAAATCGCTAACTAATACGGATAATCTTGAGGTACTGTTATGAAAGAGCTTTTCCAATAGCTGGACATTTTTGGAATTAGAACCCATTATTTCAAGCGAAAAGCTTTTAAATTATGCGGTACGGTGCAATGCTGTTTGTTATTTGGGGTTTATACCTGGACGTGGGCGGACAGAACATAATGTCAGTACCATATTAGACATAAATTTTAGATCTCTAAATGAAAAAATGTGATTTCTATATTGACTTCAAGAGACTGTTTGAAGGACATCTCTAAATGAGGTTTTCAAAGAACACAGCTGAATTTTTTCACTTAAAAAATTTGAAATGTCTGTAGCCGTTCAAAAGTCGGGAAATCTTATTTCAATAGCTTTTGGGTGTTTTGTCATATTTTTAAATCGAATTCACTGTGATTCGGTAGTCTGTGTTTCCAGGATGTAGGAAACATCCTTGGAGAGAACTGTAAATGTATAGACCCAATGTAACTGTACCTTCAGATATTTTAATGATTTGTGTCACAGTTTTCACAGGAATTCTTAAAAAATCCGAATTTGGAGTTCGTAGTGGGCACTCCTTCATATGACAGGAAATTGCGGATTTAAGGTAAATTTTTTAACAGAATTATCCTAAACTTGGTGTTTGGAGTTCCTTCTCTGAAAGATAATTGCCTGTAAAGGTCGACGTTTTCATATAGCCCCATTTAACCGTAATTTCTGATAATCAAAATTTTGAAAGCTATAGCAGCATTTTCAACGTTTTCTTTACATTTTGCTTTTTTTTCTTGTTTTTAGGTATCAAATCTAATTCGATTACGAGAACTTCAACTCCATCGAAGAATATATTTTGAACTTTTTCATATTTTTCTCACACTTCCAGTACCAGAATATTGTCGCTAATTCTTAAACACTTCTGGAAATGTTTTTGTAAATTTAATATTAAGTGCAACATTTTTCCATTTAACTTCTTAATTGAATTTCACTTCAGAAATTCCTCTGCATAAATTTAACATCCCTGCAAGTACAATTTTACAGACCCAAAGCCCAATATAATGACTATCGACCTCATTATTGACTAATCTCTCTCCCTTTCAAAGCGGCTTATCTTCTAGAGAGCTAATCTATGAGGAACTCCCCCCAATAAGCTAAATATTACTCACTATTACCCAACACCATTTGGCGCCTAAACATAACCGCCTTCCTTACCACCATTTCAGCCAGAAGCTGTCTACACAAATAGCATTTAGTGTTGAATAAAGGCTACTCCCTTAAAAATACTATATATACCATTTTCAAATTCTGGAGAAAAATGAAAAATTACTGCTCATTTCGAAAAGCGAAAGTATGTGAACAGCCCACATTTTTCCACGAAACCGAGAGAGAGAGAGAAAAAATCAATTTACATTTTACTGCTTCTGCCAGTTACCGACATCATATATCATTGAAATACAAAACATTAAGTAAATGATTTACACCACACATGGCTGAACTGAAAAATACTCCTACTGATGTGTGGGCCTCCCTTTACTCGCTCTTTGAAAAGAAATTGTAACAATTTGTATTTTTTTTTTTTTATTTTTTGTCTTTGCAATTCAACAATGTTTACGGGTGACAAGTATTGCCATTGACATTGTAAGCTGGTGCATTGATGAGATGAGCTGCTGCTGCTCACTGCTGCCATTGTGAAAGTAAAATTGTTGCATTGTTATTGAAATTGAGTTTTGTGACCGATAAATGCCGAACTTGAGAAAACAAATAGATATATCTGAAGATTACAGGGATTCAGAGTCGAGGGAATTTCTTTTGCCATTTAATGATGAACATGACATTGTCAAAAGAAAGACGAAGTGGATGATGATGGTGGTGGTGGTAAATGAACAGATAACAACAACAGCCACAATCATAAATCACTTAACAATTGTAATAAACTTAACGAAACAATTGATGAGGGCTTCACAGACAGACCTGCTACACAACAATTGTTTCAATGTCTGCTGTGATTTGCTCTGATTTGTGGCATTCGGTGGTTTTTTGTTTTGTTCCTCTTCAGCTGTTGACTTTCAATTTGTTTTGCTTCTTGGATGTCCATGTGTGTGTGTGTGTGCTTTTCTTGTTTTACACATGTCTTTTGTATAGAAAACAAAAGTGAAATTTCATTTCATTAATCGGGTTCATAATGATAATTATAGCAGCAGCAGCAAGTTTGTTGCTTAAGTCTTTTGTTTAGATTTTCCCTTTTTTTTAGAATCTCGCAAAAGTGTTACAGTTTTTGTCGGTTGGCTTTTTGTCACGCTTTTGTTACATGTTTTTATTATGGTTATTGTTGTTATGTTTTTTATAACAAACAAGTTTCAGGCCACAAATCATAATTCTTGTCGCTTTTTATTAGGCTTTTTGTATTATATACCCTCTCGCTCCCTCCCCACAAAAGGCTTAGTTTTGCCGTTTGTTTTCCACCACGTTTGGTTAAACGTTTTGGGTCTGGTTTGATGTTCTAAAAAAACAAATAGAAAAAAAAAAAGAAAAATAACAAAACGACATTTTATTGTTTTGCGTGTGTGCCGGCTGGCAGGCTGTCGTGAACATGAATTGACACTTTCTTTTTCTTTGCCACAAAGGCAACGCTTTTCTTGTTCTGATGTTGGGGGGTGCACTATGGGTTTTTTTACGTTTATTTTGGCATAAACTCTAATTTCAAAGCTATTGAATTGAAATTTGGTTTGTATACATTTTTTATGCTTCCAAGATGACCTACCAATTTTCATATGATTTGGGGCACTATTTCATATAGCTGCTATATAGCCGATCTGGCCGATTTGACCCAACTTTTTTGTTTATGAAGCTATTGAAGTGAAATTTGGTTTGTATTCATTTTTTATGCCCCCAAGATGACCTACGAATTTTCATATGATTTGGGGAACTATTTCATATAGCTGCTATATAGCCGATTTGACCCAACTTTTTTGTTTATGAAGCTATTGAAGTGAAATTTGGTTTGTATTCATTTTTTAAGCCCCCCCAAGATGACTTACGAATTTTCATATGATTTGGGGCACTATTTCTTATGTAGCTGCTATATAGCCGGTCTGGCCTATTTGACCCAACTTTTTTATTTATGAAGCTGTTGAAGTGAAATTTGATTTGTATTCATTTTTATGCCCCCAAGATGACCTACGAATTTTCATATGATTTGGGGCACTATTTCATGTAGCTGCTATATAGCCGATCTGGCCGATCGGCTATGATGATTTGGAGAAACATACTGCTCATTCATTACAATAATTATACTTTTGCTAAGCCATTTTGAATGTTTAGTTTTAAATCGCTCTAGTTTACGGATGCACTTTGGCAAATGCTTTTTTTTATAATTAACAAAATCTTTCACTTGTTTTGATATCAAACGCATTTGGTCTTCATTTAAACTGATATTATTGATATTCTGTAACACATATTTCACAAGTGCATCATCTGAGCGATTGTAGCTTCTCCAAATTTCAATAAGCGCTGCATGGACAAACACATGTTTATCTGCAAAACACGTGTTGGCACAAAATAGAACAAAAAAGGCTAGTTACTCATTAATTAACACACTTTTGTTAATAACTTGGCATTTATACCTTTTTGCAATGCTTTGCCATTCACAAGTTACACTCCACGGAACACAACTACAATTTATAGATTTTATATAAAGCTATACATAAACGAAACAATTCACAGTATTACAACAACAGACAATTATGACAAAAAGGGCACCTCGTCTTAATTTTACATACCTGCACTAACGTTTTCCATAATTACACATTTTATTTTTTTTCAATTTTGTCAAATCAGAAGCACTTGAACTTAGCTGATCTTTACCGCCAGTTGTACCAAAACAAAGTGACTTTCAAACAGCTGACTTTAAAAGCTCGCCAGCAAAAAAGGGTTGCCACCCGTATCGATATTAAACATTTTTTTTTTCTAATATGGGTATCTACATTTAGGAAATCAGTTAAATTTCAAAATATGAAACCAAAAAAAAAATGACTTTATGCCAAAAAAGCATGCTTTTTACCCATAGTGGGGTGGTGGAAAAACAACAAACGTTCTTGTTTACCTTGAAAGTGGCTTAGAATTTTTTTTAAGTTTTCATTCATTTGAAATTCAATTCAATAAGATTTGTCATTTTATTTTATTCTTTTCATTTCATTCTCCTTCTCATTTGGGATTGATGTCCTCAATGCCAATGCCGGGCTTGTGCGTGCCAACCCGCATTGTGATTTTATTTATTGTGGTGTCTGGCATTGAAAGTTTAATTAAATACAATTAGCCAAAAGAGAAATTTATGTTATTGGAATTCTATGCTACGCTATGCTACTCAACTCAAGTCAAGAGAAATGTTGATTTAATTTAATGCAATTTTGGTTTGTTTCTAAATTCCATGTGCAGCTATCATTTTTCATTGAATGCAGTTCTTTTCAAATAGTTCCCGAAAGTCACGTGAAATTTTCTTGACATTTTGATAGACATTTAGAATTTCGTGCCACTGGTATTAATTTTTTGTTTTATAAAACAATTACGTGAGTAAGTTTTATGGCCATACATTTTGGATGCTTACCTTTTTAAATGTTTATGGTTGTGTTAATATAATCTGAAATGAGTAGAAGAAAATTAACACGTTAGATTATTTTGAGACTCAAGAGTATTTGGTTCTTAAAATGCTATAACAATTATTTATGTTTCAAAGGTTCGAAAAAAAAAAATCTTACAGAATAAAAAAAATATTGAAGTGATTTTTTTTTTCGATTTTGAGATTATTGTTGTCCCCGGGGCTCCAGTTGGAATTTCTCATGAATTAAAAGTAATCCAATCGGAGCAATCCTTTGTCCCTGAAGCAGAAGCTTATTGTGCAGAAATTTAATATTTTTAAAATAATTTTTTTCTATTTGGAAACTTAAAAAAATATATATATTTCTAGATATTTCTTCGGGAAAATAGATAAATAGAGGTCACTTAGAGTAAAAACAATAAAAGTCCATTTAATTTCTTTCAAGAAAAAATGAACCAAAAATTCAAATAAATTAAAATAAGGTATTAAAAATATAAAGAATCGTTTGCAGAGTAAATTTTTTTGTTGTCCTAAAGAAGAAACAGATTTAAGTTTTGTTTAATATTTTCCTCCGAAATGTGTCTGCGGTTCTGATCCCAAAATATTAAATACAGAGTGAGATGAAAAAACTGAAACCAACTTCAGACTGCTGTCATTTCTAAGCCACTCGTCCGACAACTGTTAAAATTATTCCAGTGACAGCTCATTATATTGTTTACAAGCGTATAAGAAATTTTTCAGAAAAAAAGTAATTCGTGATGGAATTCAAGCGTGATAGTGTGACTTCTTTATTTTTTTGCTGGAAAACCAGAAGGAGCTATCGTTAGAGCACTCCAGCATTTAAATGTGAATGATTCTTTTGTTTCTCATATCATCGCTCGTTGCCGTGATACTGGTAGCGTAGCGCGATGTCAATCAAGTGGACGGAAGAAAACAGCAACATCAGAAGAAATGGTTCGAAAAGTAAAGAAGCGACTTGATCGAAACCCGCGTCGCAGTGGCCTGAAAAATAGCGCATGAGCTGAACATATCGCAATATTCCATTCGGCAAATATTGAAAAATGAGCTCGGGGTAAAGCTTGGACATTCCAACAGGACTCAGCACCACCGCACATAACACACGCCACCCAAGAATGGTTATAAAGTGAGGTTCCTCCGGATATCAATCCGTTCGACTATTGTGTCTGGAGTATTTTGGAAAGCAAAGTTGGCAAGCGCTTCGCCTGGAATGGGCCAAAATATCACAGAGCAACATTCGGACAGCGTGTGACGGTTTCATTGGCCGTTTGAAGGCCATAATTCATGACAAAGGTGACCAATTCTAAACTTATTCTAAAATCTGATGCTATTTCCGACATTTGTTGCTTTCATTCAATAAAATTAAAAAACAAATGTAAAAGTAATAGCGTTTGACTTTCTTGCATTTTTCTTATCTCACCCTGTAGTCAAAAAATAATAATCGCATATGAAAGACCTATTCCTGATTGAAATAATTCAACCTAGTTTTATGGTCCTGGAACCTTTTCTCTCCCTCTCCCATTTTTGACCGAGGAAATATCTTCCTGATCTAAGGTCGAAAAGAAGAAAATATAGATCCAACATCATATTTAGAGTTCTTCCTTTATTTCAAAAATAGGTCATTTTCACTGGACATACTGGACTCACATTCATTTTTTTCTCAAATTTAGGCTGAATTGAAAACATAAAATGTTAATTAAAGAAAATATTCGTCCCAATAACTCTCCAAAGTTCGAACTATTCTTATGTTCTTTCGTATCTAAATAAAAAAATCCCTCATGGGTCAGATAGAAGGAAATTTTGCTCCAGCATCTTATTTTAGGTATTTTATATTTCATTATCAAAATATATTTTTCTTTTTTACTTTCGATCACTGTGTTACTTAATTAAAATCAGGAATTCATATATTAAATAATTTTTAAATATAATTTTTTCCTACACAAAAATTAAATTCAAATCCAAATGTCTTCGTTGCTTTGGCACATACTCGAAATAGTATAGCTTTTCAAACTTAAGAAAAAATCTTATGCCTTCATAATTTATTCACAAACAACATACAGCACAAAAATTAAAGAGAAACTCTTGGAAATCTTAAAAACAAAAATAAAACTAAAAAACACTGGGGAAGCACGACGAAAAAAATAAAATAACTACGGCAAAAGCTCACATAATACACCGGCTGTGAAATCAACGACCGGTCGCATTTGGTGGGTCGAACAACTGAGAGACCTCATTCCAATATGCCACAACACTTAGACACTCACACACAGAGACACTAGAAGACACTGAGATAAATGTTGATGTAAAGTAGAGTTGTAACATAACTGTTTCAAACAACATACAGCAGCGGCAGCAGTTGGAGAGTTATGGCTCCAGACAATCAATATACGAGTAGTGAGTGCTGTGTGACTATATGGAGAAAATGCCAAGACAATTGAACAACAAACTGCCACCTTCAGCCATATGTTCGTAGCAGGCAGCAGTTGCCAACCAAACAACTGACACCAAGAAATTAAAGAAAACATTAACGATTATTGGCACAAGATTGCATGGACAACAACGACAACAGCATGAAGAAGAAGAACAGCAGCAACAGCAACAACATATGGCATAGAACATGTTATAATTGTTTTTTATAAATTCAAAAGTGTCTTTCACTTTAACTCCAATTGTTGTTAAACATTGGCCAGCTGAGATGCAACACAGGAGGAGGAGAGTGGGAATGATAGAAAAGAGGTGGGCTTGAAAGCCTTCACCTGTACAAATGAACAAAGTCGAACAAACAACAACGAACGACAGTAGGAAAAGACTCACATACATACATAGAACACAAAAAGATGAATACTAAATTAATCTAATAATGCCAATGATGTAAGAATGTGGTTTACCCCCGATATGTTAGCCAGCAAGTAAGCCAAGAAACAAACAGTACCACAGCAGCAACAACAACAGCAGCTTCATCATCCATCTATGCAACTAAACTGAGAGCTTTTGTGGACCATTGCCTGCCCGCCTGCCTATTTTCAATGGCAAGCAATTTCAACATAACATTTACTAATAATTGGCTCTGCATAGAAATGTATCTGTATGTGTGTATGTATATATGTGTGTAGTAATGTTTACAAATGGTAAATGTGGTTGTTGGTTTCGCTGGTATCATCTCTTTTTTGTTGCTTTGCAACTAATACCATTTCTTTATGCCGGCTGCTGCAGTTGTTTGTTACTCCAGTCATTGATGAGTATTCATTTCGCTTCATTTTTCTGCGGGCCGTTAAAACCTGCTGCCATGGCTGATCATCAGCATCATCATCAGCGCAGCAGCATTAACATCAAATGTTGCAACAATGCATTTCAAAAAGAAAAAAGACGAAGCAGAAAAAAAAGAACCGGGCTATTAACCTATATTTGTAGCCTTTAAATGTTACTCGTTTATGGCACAGCAACACAAAGCAAAAAAAAGAAAAACGAAGAAATATGTTGTAGCCGCAGAAAAAAAATCGATTCTTGAAACGTACATAGAACATACATTAAATTGGCTGTCATATATGGATGTTGGAAGACCACAACACTTGTTGCGTTGGCCATCTATCTGCCACCACTAGCATCGCAATTTCCATTGTCATTGCCGGGTTTTGAGTTGAATAGGAGACCAGCAAATAGATATATCTTTCATTTGCTCCTCAGATCATGTTATTGGTATTCCATACATGCCAGAGCTTTAAATGCAAACACTTGTTACAAGTGTCAATTTATTGCAGGTTTTCTTTATTTGCTTTTAATGAGAAAACAAATAGTGGGATGTCTTTCAAAGGTTCCCCCTTTGTCGTGGACTTTAAATGACAGCTTTGAAACATGTTTATTTTTATATATCTGGTATTGCTTCCATACTTACAACAAAATGGTTTTCCGCGAAAGTGAAGATGTGTGGAAGGGAGGATAATAGCGATTTAGGGGCTAAAATTACCTGGGATTATTGTTATTATACCCTTAGTCAGGGTATATATCTCACCGAAAAAACTGTTTTAGATCCCAGGTGTCTTTGGACCAAATCCGTTTCAGGATATTTGAAGTCGATTTAGCGATATCTGCTGGCTGGTTGGTCCAAACTTGGTACATCGTAATGTTATTATAAAATTATTATTATCTGATACCTCCCCCACAAAGTGTCAATTTTTTCAAAAAAACAAAAAAAAAATCACTGCACAGAAAAAGAAAGAATTATGCATTAGTGGAAAGTGGACAAAATCGGTCCACTACAGGGTGAGATGAAAAAAACAGCAACCAATTTCAGACTGCTGTCATTTCTAAGCCATTCGTTCGACAGCTATTAAAATTATTCCATTGACAGCTCATTATATTGTTTGCAAGCGTACAAAAGCATTTTGGTGAGAATTTTCCGGAAAAAAAAGTTATTCGTGATGGAATTCAAGCGTGATAATGTGATTTCTTCATATTTGGCTGGAAAATCACAGGTGGCTATGGTTTTGTGTCTCCTACCATCGCTCGTTACCGTGATACTGGTAGCGTAGCCCGCAACAGCAACATCAGCTGAAATGGTGCGAAATGTAAAGAAGCGACTTGATCGAAAACCGCCTCGCAATGGCGAAAAATGAGCTCGTGGTAAAGCCATTGAAATTCCGAAAAGTGCAAGACCTTACACCACACCGGAAAGAAAATAGACTCAAAAGAGCTAAAGAGTTGCTTCGCTGAAAATGTGCACATTCGGTTGGCCACCAGAACTCAAGCGGTGCAACGGAAAGAAAATAGACTCAAAAGAGCTAAAGAGTTGTGCACCTTCGGTTGGCCACCAGAACTCAAGCGGCGGCCATGGTGATGTTGTGGGCCGCCAGAACAGCCGATGGTCGCTCTCCGCTCGTATTAATCGACCGTGGCATCAGAATAAATGCGAATATTATCGCGATAATATTTTGGAGGGTGTATTAAAGCCTTGGAAAGATTTTGGCCGCAGACCTTGGACATTCCAACAGGACTCAGCACCATCACATTCAACAAAATGAGGTTCC